AGGTGTGGCTGCAAATAACACGACCAGACTTAATGCAAAGGGAAGGGCTCGGAGGGACAGTTGTCATTGGAGATACAGACCACCTTGGAAGTGTTCAACCATGCACGTGTCAATCCAATCATCGTTAGTTAAAGCAATGAGAGCTAAACCATGCCCCTCAGAGGCAATAAAGGGCAGTGTTCAGTCCAATCATCTAAGTATATTTTTGACTAAATCAAATATTGGGTGAAAATAAATGTGTATCGCAGTCCGAGAAGAAACTCTTTGGAACAAAACATACTGAAGAAATATTATTATTTATTTATAATATTGTATTTTGTCTTGTGTGAGTGTGTGTGTGTCTGTGTGTGGATGAGGTTTGAGTCAAATAAGCGTCAGCTTTGTCCTACCCCTTTTGAAACTGTGTATAAATGGTTATTTTGTAACTTGTTTACTTTGTATAATTTCTGTGAATATCATTGCTACAGGTTGAATCGTACATACATTTATAACATATGATTGCCTTAGCCAGAGTCGTGGTTCATTCCCCTGCACCTCCACGACCCATGATGCTGCGTTGTCTTGGCAACATACCCACTTGCCCAAGCCCACTGAAGTCAGGCTGCCACTCAGAGCAGCCTCCTGGGATCACCCTGCAGGGTCAGGGGCTGGTGAGAGGGTGCATCTCTGACTGACCTGGATTAAGGAAGAAAATGGATGGATGGATGGATATTTTGATTTATTGGTGAAAATAGTCATCTGAAAGTTAAAAGTGGTTACGTATTGTTAATAAAAATAAATGTGCATCTGGTTGATTTGTAAGGATTTTAAACATTAGGAAGAAGGTCCTTTATTCGTCCCGCAATGGGGAAGTTTCAGTTTGATGCATACACTTTTACACAAGCAGCGAACATTACTTCCACACTCCTTATAGGCAAAGTGGGTTAAGTGTCTTGCCCAAGGACACAACGACAGCAGACATCAGTGGAGTCGGCGGAGAAGGTCTCGCAGTGGGCTCAAACCCACGACCTTCGGGTTCAAAGACCAATGCTCTTCCAACTGAGCCACTGTCGCCTATTATGCAGTTATTATGTAGGAATTTTGATCAAATGATAGCTTCTATTTAACTTGAGGGTTAACACTAGGAGCGCCCCTAGCGGTCAACTGACCGTCACTCACTTTATTATGCTAATTACTGTATTCAAAACAAAACGCCAGAAGTTGAAATTTTATGACTTTTACTAGGTACTTGTTGTTTATATTTTGGTGTGTTTTGGTTTTGGAAAAAGTAAAGAAAACAAGATTTACACGCATTTTTAACTTTTCTAAACCACAGCCCTTTCTGCTGCCCCATGGAGATACATGGCGCAGGGGCGACTGTTGTCATAGTAACCTTTCCCGGGGGTTTTTCGCGCCTCATAAAAATGTATCAATATGTTGTCATTAGACTCTAAAGGGACTTTTTTATTATTATTTGGGAGAGAGAGGAGTACAAAATGAATAGAGCTGCAAGTACACGGTATGAAGCCCTGACAGTGCTTCAAGACATTGAATGAGAACAGTATGACGGAGGTGAGAGATGTCACATTTTGAGGTAGAAAGTGACAGCGGGGAGAACACCTATAATATTCTAAATCTGAACGTAAACCCATAGTGCATTCACGGCACGGGCAGCAGTGTTGTAAGTCCAGAAGCAATAACGCACATGAGCGTGCGTAATGCCAGCCATACGCAGGTGTCTGTGTGCGCGCTGTTGCTCCATTCTGCCTTTTCATTCATCATCAATTACATTATTATATTTATACATACAAGAAGGCAATACAGCAGAATACAATATCGCAATAAAATAGAACAATTCGATGAACTATCAAGGCAGAGTGCAGATCAGAGTGCTCGTCACCCGCGGACACTGCAGAGAGGGACTGTGGGGCAGAGGCGGCCCTCATATATCAATAAGGATATAATTCTTTTTTCATCCAGATAACACTGTGTGTTATTCTGCACAGCGCGCACTGCAAGGCAATGATTATAATTTTGTTCTGAGCATAAAGAGCACTGCTTGTCTCAAATAAATACAAATATATATATACATATATTTGTCTTTCTAACGTGTCCCGTGTAAAATTGAAGATTTTACATTGACGATGGTAGCCTAGCTGATGATCTTGTGTCAATACGAATACTATTATTATTATCTAGATAATATTTCCCACGGTGATTTCGGCCTCTAAAGAGAAAACAGTCTGGAGATGACGTAAGAAGTAGACGCATATAGCAGCGCGAAGACGTTATGGTCCCGTGCTTTTCTAAACTATAATTTATATTGTTTGAATTTACATATTGTTACTGAGTCAAATATAACTTATAGTGACCAACCTTTTAGGTGTTTGCAAAGTTACAAAATAAATCTAGCCTGAAAAGTCATCGTAATTTTGATGGATCAGTACACGCAAAATGTGTCGTCTTAGTCTTTTATTTCGGCTAGAATTACAATTACTTAGCATATTTAGACAAATAATTTACACAGTTTCATTATGATCACGATTCCTTTGCAACATCAAGTTCTGGTTTAGTGAACAATCAATTTGGCAAAAGGCTGTATCAGCGCAAAATACATAGCGGTCAACTGACCGCAGGGGGCGGTGCAAGGTATGTTAAGAGCGCGGCGGTCCTAGTGTTAAGTATGAGATGTGTCAAATATTTGAAAGTTAGAATCTGTGAAAATATTTGTATGTACCCCCATGTAATAAATAACGTGAAACATAAAATAGTTCAAATCTTGTTTTGCGGTCTATTGACTGATTTTGGCAAACCATGAATTTCCTAGTTTTAGATAAAATGTGGCACTCAAATGATCTACAATGTTGTCAAATACTTGGCTCTTGTTCCTGTGAGGACAGGGCCAAAGTCCTGTGAGTTCATGGTCCTGTCGCCTGAAGCCCAGATGTGATCGCAGCTGGATGTGGCCATTCATCGACCTGCACTGACAACATGTGACACGAGAGCAGGGCCCCGCCAGGACCCATAGCCCTGTCACTCACACACACACACACACGCACACACACACGCACACACACACACACACACACACACACACACACACACACACACACACACATACACATATGATGGGGACACATCCGGCTTCATTCAAGTACTTTGACACCTTTGATTTATGGGGACAATGTATTCTAATTGAGGTAAGTTTATAGGGGTTTTTACATACATACAGTACACACACACACACCGCTGCATCAGTTATATTATTATTAAATATAGAAACCCCAAAAGTGATCTACCAAATGGTTGAGGAAACCATTAAAGGGTTAATTACTACTGGCTTGATATTTGTGTATGTGCCACCTTGACTACACATGCACTCATGAAGTCACAAAGATAAAGGGTCCCCATCTCTGCTCCTTCCTCCAAAGCTCAGGATCCAGATGGGTCATATTTCATCCGGACCGACCCCCCCCTCCTCTTCCACCCCTCTTCGACCAGCTCATCCTCCCATCACAGGAAGCGCTGCAAAGTGTGTCCAAAAGTGAAGGCAAATTTTGTGTGCACGGGGACCAGCGCTGTTCTTTTCCTGGATCGGCTGAAATCAATCCCCAGGCAGGAAGACACTTTAGATAACCACACATTTTGTTCCCAATTGCAAAGCCGCACAAATTTGTCACAACGCTCAGAGGCAATTGGTGTAACGCTACCTTGACCAGATTTTGTCCCAATTAGACTCCGGTGCATCCGAGTATGAGTGTGTGAGTGTCCAAACGCGGCTGTCTCTGAGACCTGACATAACACTGAGCTCTCTAATTGGGAAAACTTGTCTAGAACATCAACTTTCAATGTTAATTAATATGGTTTAGGTGACGGTACATGGCACTGTGCTAGGTGCCAAGCTAAAATTATTATATGTGTTTCAAAAGAAAGCCGCTTAAATGTTATTACGGGCTTTGTCAGCTTTTCTCTACTAGAAATGGCAAAAGCTGATTTATTTTAAACACATCATTGCATTGACCTGAAGTTAATCTTTTGCAAGCAGTGTAAGTATAGAGGTTCACCTTGTAACTTTTCTGTTACAAGGTTCTGCCCATCAATGCATTTGCAGGCCAAGCGGTTATATTGGCAAACAAGCCATTTTTTGACTTTTTGAAAGACAATATGTTACAACTTCTTGAAAACTGCCTAAAAAATAAAAAAAACACCTTTACCTGGATGCTGGATAAAACACATGCAATCCATAACAATTGGTTGTATCTGGTATCAGTTATATGATCTTCTGAAAAATCCTTTAAGTATGATAGGACTGTTTACTGGTTTATAATAACCCAGAATGTTACATATTTTGCAGATATTGAAAGCCAAAGTATCACCATAGAAAATCTGTATCAGTGTATCCGGTAGTTATTCTAGGCAAACTAATTCTACCATCTAAAAATGACTAGACTCCTCTAAACATACCTTAAAATTGTGACTTCAAAGCAAGAGGGTCCTGTGTTGAGTGTTCATCTTTCTCCCTGTGTCTGGGGTGTTTCCAACGGGCACTCCGGTTTCCCTGATGCACCATAAAAGCCTCCAGCTCCTAGTCCTGCAAGCTGAGCATCAACATCTGGAGATGAGTCCCCGGACACTGCACTGATCTGTAAAGCTTACCCTAGTGGCATTGAAGGATGGGTCAAATGTAGATGACAAATTTCCCTATGGGGTCACAAAACCATCCTTACCTTAAGGATCAGGCTTTCATAAACTTCAAATTTACTAAATGTACTGTATAATAATTAGATGCAAGAGTCATAAATTATAGAGAACAGACAGAGCAGACAATATGTTATTCTTAAAATTTTAATCTCGAACTGAATAATCTCTATCACGACCAAATATGTCTATCGTCCTCTTTTGTTCTGCTACGGACAATAGCTTACACTAGACTTTTCCTTGTTTCTTTGAGGCTGTTTTGGTGCCTTCTCTTTACTCTGTCTTTTCCTGCCTGCGTGTCCAGATGGCAGGGCGTCTTGCAGTCATAATGCTGTGGTAATCCCTGTGCACATGGTGGCCTCGCTCGCTCCGGTAAACACCCCACACTCTGTCCATTGTTGCCCGCCCGAGTGTGTGTGCGTCTGGGCCTCGGAGCTCCCGGTGCCCATGGGTCCGTGGAGCTGGACTGGTCCCTCTCCAGACATGTGTGACTGCTGCGACAGGTTGAAGAGCCAGAGAGAGCAGAGTGAACAACAAGAGGGAAATCATCACAGCGTCTAGGAGTTGTCCCAAAATGTGCCTCCTAAAAAAATTGCTCGTCTATTTTCCTCCTCGATTAGTTTTAAAAAGTGTTAAACCTGAAAAATGAATTAACTGAATTGTTCTGCCACAATGTCAATGTTGCAACACACCAGTGTAAGACCAGTAGAGATAGAAAAATAAGAAAAACATTGGACAATTTCTTCTGCCCGACACAGAGGGTTAACAAACTATTATCTTTCTCACTCATGAGAAAATTCAACTTTCAATAAAGGGGAAGCAAATCACCTTCAAACGCCTTGAATATATGGCCGAAACTAGACCTGTCTTTACTCTTGATCCCAGATTGACTATGTATTTAGTCTTTTTCTATCATGAATAACTGACTGCTGCTGTATTGCATTGTACATTAGTAGACAGAGGGGCCGTCTTTTGTTTCAGCAATACACTGAAAAGGTCAAACTTTCTATCATCATCATGCAAACATATGACTGCAAAAATAAAAATAAATTGCATGTGTGTGATTATTATGATATTAACATTGGTCACATTTTTCAACCACTAACCCCTTTACACTGGCTTTGAATGGGTTGTGGGAGCTAGAATCCCATCTGCCAGTCTGTGCATGTAGACCAGAGGATCTGACCAACTTTCAGATCAGAATTAATATAACTGGAAATATGATGTATTTTTTTTTTCAGCCTGAATTAGAATCTGATTATCTGATAGAATCTGAAGTAGATCTGATTAAAGTTGTCCTGTGTTTGGTTAGTTATGTTTTCCACAGATAATTAATATGTACTCAATTCATCCTTTTTTCCTGTTATCTCTCTAAATGATTAAACACATCTGCAAAAAATCTCATTGAATCTATGTGAGAAATTTACAAACAAATGGCTGGAGGCTTCAGAAAGCGGAGGCTCAATAGTTTTGGCCTCTGATTACTCTTTTACTCAGTGGCAACAGTAGCTCTAAAGTTAAATATCAAACTCCAAAGACCACCTTAAAACATTGTCTTTGGTCAATAAAACAGTTTCCTTGTAATCCTGTATTTTACCAATATTATCCTGACATTTTCTTTTCTTCTATTTTGATTCCTTACCAGTTTTAGTCTTGGTTCACTGTAAGCCTGACTTGATTAGTTGAGACTTGGGCTACCACAGTAACTTGAACTCTTGGAAAGTTAGGAGAAGACTGCAGGTGAGGAAAACAAACCCAGACCACAAATTGGGTGTCTGGCTAAAGCAGTTTAAGAACATTTCCCTTAATGAGATTTGTTACTTTAATTCTTACCAGATCCTCCACCTCTGACAAAAATGTCCCCTCCAGTGCATCCCCTCTGCTTATCCCGCCTCCACACTAAAAGATAGCATTGCACACAAGGCATAAATCCTGCAGAAAGTATTTTGTAAGCAAATATTTCGGAACAAATGTGGCTCGCCGTGTCATCAGTATATTTACGATGGCTCAAAGACATGGCTGTGTGGGTCTAATTAAAAATGTGAAAGGGTTAGCAGCCTGCCGCTCATTGCCAGGGCTTGGCAGCTCTCCTGTCAGGGAGCCAGCTGTTTAGTCCTGCCCTGAATTATTGCCAGACCCACCGCCAGGCATTGTAGGATTGGCAGGGCCGGGGCCGAGGACTATTGTGCGCTTTCACTGGAGGGGAGAGGCTAAGAGGAGAGAGAGACAGAAGAGCAAGCATTAAACTCCCAGTAAGTTCACAGAGAAAGACAGGACTCGATGAAGAATGCACAAGAAAGTATGTGTGTTCCCAACTTTTCATTCAATTCAGTGTAATTTTGGATAGCACTAAATCCCGACAGCAGTAATATCGGAGAACTTTACAAAGTTGTTGATTTATTGGTCTATGGGGAGCAGGATGACCACTGTCTGTTAATAAATATCTCAGATCATCACTGTCCTTAGACCCTCCAGCATTGGCATCGGCATTGAAAAAATCACATACAGTAATCTTATAGAAAGAGGTGTTCCAGTCTTTGATACATTTCCTTTCTCTCATGTGTATTGGTCAGTTTGGTCCCAAGCTGCAGCAGTTCAGTCGCCCTGGTTGAATAGTAAGCAGTGAAGGCACCAAATGATTGTCAAAGATCGAAGGTTCAAGATCATTCTAAATCTGCAAAGTCTGTGGGTTATAACAGAAAGCATAACAGTTGTGCTCAAGTATAAGTTCTTGCATATTTTAGAAAAACACAATACATATTTGTCTAAACAGAATGTCTTTGAGTTCATCGTTGCAGGGGATGCAATGTGAGTTTGACAGAAAAAGAGATAGATGTGACACACAAGTGGATTGGGGCTATGTTTCCTTGTATTTCCTTATCCACATTATCTATGATCTCAGGCATATCAGCAAAAGTATGTTGCATAGTTGCACCTATAGATACGTTTTCCAGATATGGAAACCAATACCTTTTAAAGCTGAAGTGGAAAAGGTTAAAATACATGTCTCTGTGTTTATGTAAAATCCACTAAATGTTATTTTTACATAGTGACATCTCCGCTCTAGGTCTTTTCCTATTCTCTCTTATGTACTGACCTGAACATGCACGATTATTGCTCCTCTGCTTCACCATGAGCCACAGGTGAACCAGAGATTTGTTCCTATATCTCTGGTATCATCCTTTTTTTCCCTCTCAGATCTGCAGAAAAACCCTCGCTCTTCACCTATTTATTAACGGTATTTATGACGATTTCGCCCGGAAGGAAGCCCCGCCTCACTTTAAAACGTGTACAAACCCACAAGACGTTTTATTTTGGTTCTCAACTGTCTTTCACCGCTTCTCAGCTCCACCTCCTGAAATGTTTTCCACCGTAATCAAAGAGAATCCTCTACTGCACATTTATTTGACTGATTTGGTGTTTTCCTGTCATCACAGCGCCACCCACAGGCCTGGTACATGGATCACAATACTCCCAGGTGAACTAAATCTGAGTGCAGACCTAGTGTATGATCACGAATCACTTTCAAAACTTTTAGCCGTTATGTCTCTCTGTGGGCCTTGTTTTAATGTACGTAAAGAGACAAAGGTTAGAAGAGATGCACATATGGCCAATTTTTGCATCACTCTCATCTCTAATGCTTGTTAAAATCCACTCTCAAAAGCCAAATTTACTTGACTAACTTGAATAAACTGTTAAAGTTACACACTATTCTTTTGTCAAAATCAAACTTTCCTCATCTAGTCATCAAAGCACACTTTACTGCCCCCGGCTACGATCCCGGTGTAAAATCTTGTTCCTTTGGATGCTTTCACACAGACAGAACACAGTGCCATTGTGCCCACACAGTAGGACAGTGACAGCCTTGCCTACTTATTTTTAATTCTTCATTTTTCCCTATGATGGTGTTTCTGTAAAAGCAGAGCATGTTTGATCTCTTTCTGTTATTCCTCTAGAGACATTACTCCACCCCCTGTCTCTGCCTCTCTTCCCACAAGTCCTATACCTATGTCGTCTCGCCCCCTTTTCTTTTTGTTTTCCTCCTCTCTCCGACTCTTGGGCCAGCAGCTCATAATAATTTCAAAGGTCCTTTTAAATTTATTATAAGATTTTTGCATAGCGATAAACAACGTGTCACCAGGAGAACGTCGCTGCGTGTTTAGATGCAGGGATGGGCTCAGAGGGTGACCTGAAATCTTTAGCTTTTTTGCTGAATTCAATTGTATATGTGAGCTGATAGTAGGACAACTCTCTAAGGCTTTTGTATTCAAGTCTACAACCAGAATGTCAAACTAAAGAGGAGTGTCTTGGTGGTTGACTTGTAAGAGCATATATCCAGTGCAGAAGCAGTTTTAGATACATCATACTCATATCACGCTTTTCTGAACCTTCAAAGACGCTCTATAAAAGGTCGGAAAAGTTATGAAACAACAAGAAAATATGCAACGCACAGTATACCTTGAAATGGACATGTCACATTTGGCATGAATAGAATCACTCAGACTGTGCAAAAAGACAGGAAGTGTGGTAACATGTTAAAAACATGTTAAAATATACTCTCTTTGTGCAAGATATATTGTGTACAATTAAACGTTTTTTTTTTCTAAATGTCATAAAAGAAATTGTACGACAAAAGCCTTGCCGATCGATTAAACAAAACACTGTATTATGTATCAATATTTGATTCATGCTGGTGCACTGGACATTTATAATCTCAATAATACGATGGCCCAACCTCCTGGTGGGGATACTTGGATTGTTCATAGCATAAGTTTGGCAGGGTTTTTTAGAAGATTTCTAATCCATCCATCCCTTCATTCTCTTCATCTTTATCCGTCGCTGGGTCGCGGGGGCAGCAGTTTAAGCAGAGACGCCTGGACATACACACATCCGGGGAAATCCTGAGACATTCCCAGGCCAGCCGAGAGATACAGTATAGTCTCTCAAACATGTTCTGGGTCTTCCCTAATCATTGATACAAGGCATATCCCCAGCGAGGTGCTAATGGCTAAGGTTTCTCATTAATTTTGTTTGAGAATGATATACAGTATGTACAGTATCTGAATGATTATGGATCGTTTCAATCCAGCTATTGCCATATGCGGTAAAATTTGAATCCTACACCAGTGTCTGCATGCATGCATTTTGTGTGTGTGCACATGCGTGTGTGCATGTGCGTGTGTGCATGTGTGTGTGTGCATGTGCGTGTGTCTTCCATGATACAAAGCACTTTGACTGCTTTGAAATGTAAAAAGCACTGTATAAATGTGCATATTTACAACACACAATAGCTGCAACATATATAGGCATCTGACCTAAAACCCATTATATACCTTGGAGTGAGCACTATATCCACTATATCTGCAAGAGTTCAATGTAGGTACATGATTTTCAGGCAGAATAGAAGTAGTCAGTATTCACATACATGACAGTTTGGCTCTAACAACCCTAGAGCAGCTTATTCACACATATAAGTATATTGGCGTTGCTTACC